ACAACTTTGTTATCTTGCTAGTGTCAATGTATAGATGATCAGCTTTTTCTGTAACTTGTATGGACTGTCACACTTTTGCTAAGAAACCCTCCCCCCAACTTTCTTGTTCCTAAACATCCAATCTGTTCAACGTTTTAACTCGTGGTGGGCTGTCAATCTTTTTGTGTACATTTTATAATATTATTTATTGTTGACAAGTTTTGCATTTGCAAATAATTAAAAAAAAGTGAAGGTGGTTTGACCTGAGCATTCGATTCCAATGTAAATGCCTGGTGAACAGTGAAATGCTTTTTTAATTATTAAAATGGAGAAAACAGTAATATGAGGAGATGATCTTCTGTCTTTTTATTATGACGTTGTAACATGTACATAACAGGTGGCCAAACTTGCTTTGGAAAATAATCATTTTTTGTGTTGTAACAGTATTTGTTTTACCCAGTGAATTGCTCATGAAGACAAATAAATAAGAGGAACACACAACTCTGTTTCAGACGGGTCATATCTGTTCAAATACATTTCTGTGTACATGTTCCTAGAGGACAACTACACATATACAGGTGAGACTGCACAGTGTGATGACAGACAACATTAAACTAAAAATATATCTCTTTTAGCACTGGTTATTGGGAGATTTTGACTTGATTCATCGTTTTACCACATAATTTACAACCTGTCAGAGCGTCAGTGGAAACCTGTGAAAATATGATTAATAGGTTGCATGTGAATATCAGAGGTGTCATATTATTTAGTTCACATTTTCTGCAATAAAATCTTTAATATAAACACAAAGAAAATGATTCAGTAAAACCTGACAAATTTGTGCATTTGTGCTTTTTAATTGTAATATACTGCAGTGTACAGTGCTCCATATTTGTTGATTTTACATGAACTTCAAGATGTGAACAATCTAGTCCACATGACAACATTTGATTAGTATGATATTATGATATATACAGTATATGATATTGCCCTTCAAGCCCATTTTAAGAAACCATGGCAACAAATGGTCAACCAAGTATAATATGCAAACAAAAAACAAGAATGATAGACCTTCCGTGCTTACAGTTATGCTAAAATATTGTTAATAATGAACTCTCAAGCAATAAATGTTTCAATACATTTTATTATACTGAAAGTTAATCTTTGGTTGTAAGAGTGAGTGAATTGAAAAATTTACAAACTGCTTAACATGGAATGATAAAATTTAACAAAATAATATTATTTCTTATATAATGTAAATAACTCAACAGAAGTCATGATGTGGTGTCAGTGGAGTATTATGTTTTAGAAATATACCCACTCTAAGTGACATGTCATACTGTTTTTCCAATAGTTTATTTCTGAAGTTTATTTAAATCTCATTTACATGTTACATTTACCCGTTTGTTAATGTATTCAGTCTGAAGTGCTTCTGACTCGCTGCAGATGAGGAGTGTGAATGTAATGGTCTGTGGTGCCATCTTATGGCTTCTCAAAGTATTGGCCCTCTCCTCAGTAGGAACATGATGGGAAAAGATTTCCTCATAGTGGAGATAAAAATAAGAAGTGGAACCAATTTAATGATCACACAATAAAATTCTTACAACACAACAGTCAAACTATGATGGTCTTATGATCTTATTTTTATTTTTAGGATAATATTCTTACTAATGATATATTGTTATTAGCATTAGTAATAGTTATTGTTGTCATTATTGCAATCATTTTCAGTAGTCCTGATAAAATAGTCTTACATTTGAGTCAATTCAGAATAAGACACAATAATAATAAATCAATATTTGCTATTTTCACAGCAGATATTTTGAAATTTCACAGGTATAGATAATAAAATCAATAATGGCTGGATTCCATTTAGCTGCTTCAATTTCAGGGTCCTGGTATTGTTCACGCTGGCTTACTGTCATGGATTACTGGGACACTAGAATAGAACAAAGCCACTGTTAGAAACTAGTGCTTTTCTTACTGTGATAAGTCAAAATGTCTGCAGTGAAAAAAGAAAACAACAACAAAAAACTACAAAACCTACCTATTAATGTACAGAAATGAACAAAGTTACAAGAAAAAAAAAGAAAAAAACAACAAGAAAAAAAAAATGATGTGATGAAATGATATGAGATTTAATACGATTTTGAGCACAACCAGTTTGTTTCTTTCTGTTGCTTCAGAAATCAAAGGCTCTGTGAACTATGAGTACACATGGGCAACTGTTACTGTTGTAGATTAACCTCCTCTGTAGCAACAACAGCCAAAAGATCCACAGAGACGAAACCAGTGGGATAATGGGTGGTTATGTTCTCATGATCAATGACATACACATCTTCATGTAGTCTATTTTGAATGCAGACCTTTTTTCTTTCAACCTTTGTTGTGCCTATAAACAATATTTAATACAATTTAAAACAATATTTCCTGTGTTATACACTGAGACCGACTATGCAGAGATGACTTATGGATCTTGCAACCACATCTACAATTTTGCTGGATCCTGAAAATGCTCCTACAGCTGTAATCAGACAAATGTTTGAGAAAACACATATTTTATTATTAGCTGACTCATTAAAACTTCATCAACAACTTAATGTGTTCTGTGAACCGGTGAAATGATATCCACATCCACATATATGAGCTGTTAAGTTTGGTCATTTGCAGCAGCAGGTGGTTGCACTTGTCCTGGTGGTACCACTGACCAATTAAAGGTCACACAAGATCATGGGCCAGCACATTACAATATCTTGTTAGTTCAGATCAGATTGGCGTTAATCAGTGGCATTATATATTGGTTTACACAATAAGTCAAGATGCAGTGACCCTGGCCAAGTGGCAACATGGGCTCAAAATAGTAGCTGTCTAATCCCTCACTTTATCTATCTACTACAAGTGAAGCAGTGTGATTGCTGAAAACATCGTGATGTGATTTTACAGGTGAAAAGATGAGATGTGAGCAGGCTCTTCAGTCTGTGTCGCCAGCAGCTCATTCCTACGTTGTTTCACACGACATTTCCCAGATATCACCTTTCAAACAAACAGTACATCAGCTGCTATACTGGGTGTGTTTGTCTGTTCCCCCCTGCTGCGCCAGCTCCATATGCAAACTAAGTAACTGTGCCAAATAAAGAAAACGGAAAATGCATCACTTCCTGTTAGTGACTCAAGATTTTACCTTGGAAGGAGCAACCACGCAACAGCTGAGTAACAGATGTAAATGGCTACAAGCTGAATGACTGTTGTATTGCATCATTAAAAGGGAGAGCAGCAGAAAAGGTATATCTGTAAAAAATACAACAGTTCATGATAATAAAGCTACATTTCTGTAAGTGGCTGGAGGGTGAAGGGAAGCATCTGTGGTCTAACTGCTCCCTCTGTTGTGTGAAACAGAATACGCTTTATCTGTTGACTATACACAAACACACACTGACATATATTAGACACACCCTCACAGTTTGCCCCATTCTTTTTGCAGCTGAGATCATTTAGTTAATCTGAACTTTCACCTAATTAATCCTAGTGAAATTTAAACTACTCATTATTTTGTCAGAGACCCCTAAGAGTGCATATTATCCTTGATTATTATTGCTAATTTAATTTTCACCGGTTTAGAAATGACCAGGAATAGATTATATGGTGACTATAAAGGTTGATCACTGTGCAGAATATTGCAGAAATAAATTAATGGATTTGCATGAAATTTGGACAAATTAGCACTTTGGCCAGGAAAATAATAACCATACTGTATTTTGGTGATAGTTTGGGATTCCTTCCACTAGATTTTTAGCCATAACTATGAAACTTACAAAGCTGGAACATTTCTACAAATCCCAAGGGTAGAAGTTAACTTTATTTTTAAAATGTAATTTCAGGAATGTTGTAGGAGTCAAAGCCAATCAGAGAAAAGCCTTCTTGACCTCCATCCAGTCATATTTTTGTATCACTCATCTTTAGTGATTTTGAGCATCATACAGCACTTTTCCAGAGAGGTTTCGTCATATTATTCAAATCTTCCTTAAAACAATTTCCCTCCCTTCTTCCCAATCTCTCACCCATGAACTGATTCTCATCAGTGTTTATGAAAACAATGATGGTTTACACAATGATGATGATAAATTAGTACTAATGAAATTACTTACACATATACCTTAGTGCTTATGGGCATACATTGCTACATACCTGTATATCAAAAGAGAAGAAGAAAAAAAAAGGGGTACAGTCTCACCAAATTTAAAAGTCCCATATTTTCCTCTTCTCCTGTGTTTTATTGGAAGCGTTGATCCATAAGAAGATATATTTGTGGTTTTAAGAACCGAAAACAATCTCAATGTAGTTTTACATCTCCTCCCTCAGGCTTCTCTCTGGAGCTCTAGAAACAACAGGTCGGTTTGTGTGAGTGTTTACCTGAAATCTGCTTTATTTTTATTAGATCACGCAGAAAACAGTCAGTCAATAAGATACTATGTTGTGACATTACATAGTTACAGAAGTCCTGACAGCTGGTTTTAAGGGTTAGTTTCTGAATAAAGGCTGTGTGCATTTCTCTGTGGAGTGAGCGCTTGATACTTTCACAGCATTAACATAGAACCTAGACCTGCTTTATAATCAAAAAATCAATATGGGACCTTCAAGAAGTTAGGTTATCAGGTATTGATTTAACAAATGTAAGAAATGAATCCCATATTTTATGAAAAATATAACTTTTTTGTTTGATTGTGTATTTAAGAATGTGTATTTAATGGTAATTGTTGCTTTAATATTAGCTTAGACAGGTAGCCTACAGAAAGAGAGGTAGAGAGGTGCGGGACAGGACAGGTGGCTTATGGGTAACTGAGTCCTCGGTGTGTTGATGTCAGGGGGAGGAGATAGTATTCAGGCTGTGTGTGTGTGTGTGTGTGTGTGTGTGTGTGTGTGTGTGTGTGTGTGTGGGTGTGTGTGTGTGTGTGTGTGTGTGTGTGTGTGTGTGTGTGTGTGTGTGTGTGTGTTGGTGTGTAGATGTGAGTGAACGGGGAAGAATTCAGCGGCCGCAGGACTTTTCTCTACAAATCAAACTTGTATATTTTCGGGGACCGAGGGTCGTGACGAGGACAAAACGAGGAGGACAAATACGAAAATGCGAGAAGAAATCCAGGAAGAGAGAGTCTGGTTATTAAAAATTCAGCGCGGGAGAACAGACATTATCGCCCTTTCAGACTTGTGGCAGCACCGAGGATAAACTACGATACTAACGGGCTTCAAACATCTTTGAATGGGGTGAAACGAAGCGGGGTTTTCTCGAAAAAAAAGCGACTGCAGAGCGTTTCCAAGCGGCCGAAACCCAAAGGGAAGGGGAGGAGAGGGGGGCAAAGAAAACGCCCTGCTCCCTGTTGCTGGTATCTCCAAATTCAAACTTTTATCGCCGAGTTGGAAAAATGCATCTTTCATTTAACGGGAGGTGATAATCCAAGCGTAGCGTTGTGTTTATTAGCTCGGGGCGAAATAGCTGGCTAACTGCAGGCCCGCTCACTTGGTGAAGTTTTGGGAAGCCTCTCTGCTCTGGGAATATTTTCTCCTCATTGTGCACACTATTCCTGTTGGAGGCGAGTTGGGTGGGCTGCGAGCCCAAGGCTGCTCCGCTAGGCCCACGGCCATTAGCCAGGAACAAAGAGGTTTCACATGTAAAACTCAAACGCTTTGGGGAAAAACCTGTTCATATTTTTACTTTAGCCTTTAACGACCGCCGCCGCAGTCATGTCGCTGGGCGCCGAGAGGAGGATGGAAACCCGGCAGAAGAAGCTGGAGGACATGATCAGAGACCCCAGATCTTCCGTAAACTTGGAAAGTTTGCTGGTAAGTCAAGTGGGATGCATCTCATAGATTATTAATGATGCCAAGTTGTCAATTTGCTGAAACGCTAGACACGTATGCACACACTCTGGTAACGTTATACTATTGGTACTTATATCCTTTACTTATTATTATTTCCTAATTGTAACCTGCTGCGAGCTGTTAGCTTTGTTTTCCCCCTCAGGCAGACTGTGATGTTGCATGGACCTCTATCTATTATTATTTTGTCCCATTTCCACCAGTTACAAAACTGCAGTGTTTCCATTATGTCCTGTAATCGGATGCCTCGCTATAATAACCTTTTTTTTTTTGAAAGAGCAGCCAAACTCAGAGCCTCATGGTGGATGCCCTGTAGACAGGCCTGGTTAATAGTTCAGACTGAGTACAGACGGTGCAGTGTGGGGCTCTGCGAAGCGTGTCCACGGATTAGGATTAACCAGTGGAGAATGCCCCCACTCGGTGTGTTTATGGAGACTAATATTTCCGGATAAAACTCCCGCCTGGGTAACAGTTAGGCCCACCAGACCTGGATAGTCCCACACCACAGCCCATCAGATCCTCACACCTATTCTGGTCTCCCTGCACTGATAGACGATTAGGAGGGAGAAATGACTGATCTTTAAATGTATATTTTCTGGGCAGGTCTCTGGTCTCTTCGGAAACATGTTTTCTATAACTTTTACAGTTTTATTCTCAGAAACAAAACAGCAGAGCATAAGGTCATTGGCAGGATCATTTGATAAAATGAAAAATGTCTGGTCCAGATTTCCTTATATAATATATACGTTTATATTTCACAAAGGTCTCGGCCTGTCAGTCAACAATTGTATGGAAATGTGACTACATGCCCACAGTGACAGCTCAGTGCGTTGTCTTCATACTCCAACTCCAAACTTTACTCTACACCCCAAGGTGTTACAGAAATCCTGTCTGATCCTCATTTGCATATAACATGTGAATCATACTGATTCCAGTGAAAAGCTTCTCTATCGAGCTGTAATCCCCTAAAGGTAGTTGTGAGACAGCTCCTGTCCCTATGTTTACACTTATAATATTGGAGCAGCTTTTCTTATTCAGCCATTTATGTGTCATGATGTAAAAATGTAAAGATTTTTTTTAAATATAGGACTATGATATGCTGGTTGAAGATCTTTGATTCACCAGTTCAGTGGATGACAGGAAAATGAAATGGTCTGATTATCAGGCTATGGATGGACCAGTAGTGTTAGTGAATGTAAACAGAGTATTAGTATTGCCATTTGAAATTTCCTGTACTGATGCAATCTAATGCCAACCTATATCAGAGGTAAAGGGAAACTATTGCCCTCTTTTGCAAACAGCATAAGTTAGAGCTTTGTTTTGGTGAGTAAAGTCACATTATTTTGCTTGATATTTAAATTGTAACACTCTGACCTGTGTCTGGTAGAGAAGTACATGGGACGTACCCCTTGACAGACGTTTTTGGCAATTTTTGTGATGACAAAGCTGCACAAGGCCGTGGAAAATGTTTCCTTCATACCAGTGTATATCAGTGACGTAGGGCTGAAATGAGAAAGGTCTGGTGTTGGTTCTGAACGTTTCTCCACAGGAACTAACAAATCTGAGCTTCAGAGTAAGAGCTGGAATCACTGATGTTTGAGCTTTTCTTTCCTGATGCCACTATGTGTGCAACATCTGAGCACAAGATATTTTCTGACCCTCTCCCTGTCTGTTATTCCGAACCAGCACTGTGTCACAGGACCTACTTTAGCTGTGAAGTTACATCTGTTCCCAGTGACAGTGTTTGAATTTCTGGGCCCCCTAACTGGATCTGACAGAGGGCAAACACACTGTCGCGTCTATCTTAAAAAGCATCACCTCACCCCTTTTAATGGGCCCCATCTAGCTTGGGGCCCCCTGTCCATCCCCTCCTCTGTTTCCCCTCCAAGCTACTTGAGGCTCTCCTGGCCTATTCCCTCTTACCTTAAAACATTTAACAGAATACTTGCTCGAACACCAGTGGTGTTTACTTCCTGCACACGAGCCAGAGAGATAGAGGTGTTGAGTGTTTGAGACAAAAGTTGAGTGGGAAGCATGCGTAGGAGAGAACAGGCTGCAGTTTTCCATTTTTAGCAGCCTCGATGCTGTCGCTGGGATCAAGAAGTTTTGCTGCTCAGGGTGGGATTTAAACACACTCACGTACACACAGACACACTAAGGGCTCAGAAATGTCCTTTTTTGCAGGTGGAATAAAAACATGCATACTTTAAGTGCCTTAATAATTGCTCACAGGCTCATATTCGGTAAACAGTGAATCACAGATCCCCTGCCATTGTGGCATAGCAACAGCAAAAAGTGATTTAAATAAATATATAAAATTGGAAGAAGCTGCTTTGTTGACCATTGTGTTGCCTCCTAAATAAAAAAAAAAAATAACAACAAGAGTGATTAATTTCAGGAGCAGTGTGCTGACTACCCTGAGCATAAGACAAGCTGACAGGGAGGAATCTGCAGCATCTATCAAGTGAACTCATTGACCATCCTCTTAAGAAAACTGACCGTTTATAAGCTGGGATATGTAGCAGTATAGCACGCTGATATTGAAAAGCAGAGGTTTCTGTGTAAACTATCCTTGAATCTGTAATGAACCTCTTATTCACCCCAAATAGAGCAGAATGGACAGCAAATATCACACAAATGGTATTTAAATGCCACCATATACTGCGGTTGTAAAAGCTGTAAATCACTATATTGCCTCTATCAGCATTCGATTAAACGTAACCTGAAGTCTCAGCAACCTTCCCCTTGTGCAAACTGTGGTGATCATTATTTGGCAGCACACTACTGCTGACTGTAGTACTGGACTTGGCAGCTCCAAGTACAAGGAGTGATTGTCGAGGGCAAGCAAAAGAAAGGGCATTTTTCGAGATAATAAAAAGAAAAAGAAAATATGGACACTTGATTGCAAGTCGCATAAGTTGCCTTTCTGCCGTCCTAAAGGAAATGACCTCACTGAGTAAATAGTTGGCAGCTATATAAGGGGCTCAAAGTCCCTGCGAATGGCTGCACTTTCCCCTTTCACTCTTGAGCCTTATCTCTTTTTCTCTGGCTCTGCTTCTCTCTCGGCCTGCAGCTCAGCCCCTCCTCTCAGGCTTGTTAAACACACTGCAGGTATTTTAACTGGAGCTCCAGTCCAAAGCCTTTTGATTCAGCTGTGGCCCGGATACGACCAGATAACTTCATGCACGGCACTTCAGTGTGAGGCATATGAGATATGGATGGCTGAGAGTTGGTCTGATGCCTTCCAGGTCATCTGTTGGGAGCAGTCCCTGTCTTGTCTCGTTTATATTCATTCAGTGTGATCCTCTCCTTGTTCAGCATTAGGTGACAAAGACATTTAGTCACATAATACGCTTGTTTTGTTTTGCTTAGTGTTGCTTTTTCATTTAATTCCCTCCAATCCCCTGTCCTCTGTTTGTTTATCTTATCGAACCCCATTCACATATTCTCTGTTTGTTTCTTTCAGCCTGCTTTGTCCATTCACCTCCCACCTCATGTTTATCACTCTCCTCCTCTCCCAGCACCCGAGGTCCCTCTCTTTCTCCATCTTCTCTGTTCCTTTCCATTCCTCTTATCTTACCCCCCCCCCCCCCCCAGTACTTCTTCCTTAATGTGTATCTCTTTAGGGATGTGGGGATAACCCCTCTGTGTCTTGTTCTCAGTCTTTACTCTTATAGTCAACCTGAGTGTCCGCTTCGTCTCTGGAGTGCAGTTGAGCTGCTCTCAGGCAAGCAGCAGCAGTCCGGGCTGCTTCAGTGTGCTAGCTGGATAGAAACACTGCCTTATAAGGCACTAGGGACGGTGGCCCCGGCCAATTTTTTTTCTGCAAAACAAGCCAGTCTCTCTGCTCCACACCTCCTCTGGTGAGACAGTCGGGCCTCTCCGTGGTTTTTGCTCCACTCCAGTGAAGAAGACCCGGCGTCTTCCAGGTGTGGACGCCCTCAGTACTCTCTCAAATGACTTTACTTGACTTGACTTATGTATCGTCTGGTGTTGTTTAGTTGTCAGAACTAGGAAACTTAATTAGGATTTACCCTGTTTACATGGACTCCACCGGAGTCTTTTCTAAATACCTAATAATAATATATATATAATATTCAAGTAGTAGTTCTACATTATTCACTGTCTTGAAGAGATTTAGATGAAAAAACTGATACCTCTATCATGTCTGTATGGAAAATGTAGCTACTGCCAGCACCTGGTTATTTTAGCTTAGTACAAATACTGCAAACAGCTAACCTGACTCCGTCTAAAAGCACCTCTAAAGATCTCAAATTAACCCGTTACATCTCATTTGTTTAATCCAGTTAAACACCAAAGTGTAAAAATCACATTTTATGAGGGATTATGTGTTGGGCTATGACTCTGCCTACTACATACTCAATGAGTATGTCCTGCATACTACCTACTCAGTGTATAGCCAGTACCCAGAATGCATTTCGCACTAGACCTGCCAGGATAACTATTTTTGTTTGACGCTATGTTGTCCAAAAGATAATTGCGATAAATGATATTATTGTCAAATCCATTTTATGCCACTGATATAATGAGAGCAATGAACTTATAATTCTTATGAATATTCAGACACTGGAATTTGAATGTAAAAAAATATTAAAATAGCCTATCCTACATAAATAATAATAAAGCAAAGTCGACATACCAGCTCGTTCGTGTTAATGGGCTCTCAGTGTTTCCCACAGGCTGAGTATTTACTCGTGGAGGAGGTCAGTGCGCCGTCTGAACGATGTCACACAGAGACTCATGCAGCTTAGGGGGGCAGAGTGTAGACCTGGTTATTTTCTGTTGATACAATTTACAAATGTTCCCTAAATGCCACAGGCTATCAGTAGTAAAAGCCAGGTGGCTGAGCACAGAGAAGCCTGTAGTCCGCACAATTACTCCAGAGCATGCAACTCCAAAAATTAAGTAGTTTTAAAATAGTGAAATACGGCGTTAGGTTGAAA